CCATCATCTTCTAAAGGTTTCTGCTCTCTCCTAACTCTAGTGCACCCTCTCAGGAGCATCAGATAAATCCTCCTGATGACACCTATTTCTACATGGCTTTTGTTGCGTCCATGAAAAAGAAAGCCCAAATCTCTCAACAGAGCATTTAAGGGACTCTACGACTTGATCCTGCCTACATTTCCATAACCACAAACCCAATAACCTTTCAAACTACTCTACTTTTTGTGCTTCACTCTTGAGCACACCACACACAACTTCCCCTTTGTGTCTTTCTTCTAACGATCCTCCTGGAAATCGGCATGTTATCCTTCCCTCAAGCCCGAATACATCTTTCTCTTTCACTATAAAGTCTTTCTTGACTACCACAAGAGAATACTTTCTCTCTTCACCGAATGACAAAAGTACTTTGTGGCTGTATGTTCTTTGTGCCATTTGAATAAGTAATCTGCAGTAAGTATTTGATGTATAGTATATTTTAGCTCTTGAATTAGATTAAGCTCTTTGAAGGTTGGGATCTTATATTGCCGGTTCCCAGCAGTATTGCACAGTGATTCAAAATCTTTGAATCCTCTGTTGCCAGACCTTAGGAATATTATTCTGCATATTCCCATATATATATACACATATGTATATATATATATATATATATATATATATATATATACACACACACACACACATATATATATATATATATATATATATATATATATATTCCGATGTTTAGTGTCACTTTTATTGAGATGGTATTCTTTGGGACATGATCTAAATACAGAATGAAGTATTTGGCTTTATACAGCAAAGTTCTGTCAAGAATTTTTTTTAAATACAAATAATTTTTACTTCTTTCTTGTGTATTAGATGAGAATTCTATATGTCCAATGGGTTAGAGAGTGAGATTCTTATGTGACTAACATCTCCAAAGACTGCTTAACATTAAAAAAAAAAAAATTGAACCCTGTTCACCAAATGTTCTTTTGTACAATGTAATTAACAATTTTATTCTCTATATAATTATAGCTATAAATAATCAATCAACTTTCCATTTGCTTAAACTCAGATTTTTACTTTGAATATTTCCTTCCCCATTAAGAACATGCTTATAAACATTGAAAATAGAAATCCTATTGTAATTCTGAAATGTTTGCATCAATAATTTTAGAAACATGAATCATCTATCGAGAAAAAAACATGAAGTAGAATAATTTGTTATGTATTTTATAAAAGAAGTACAAATTCATGACAATCCTAAGATAAAGGTCAGTCAGCTACATCTCAGTGAAGCTATTTAATCTATTTACCCAGTTGTAGTATATATATATGTATGTATACACACATAAATTAATATATGTAAATTAATATATATGTATACATTAATAGAGCTAAGGAAAAGAATGGTAGACATATATTCCTTCAATAACTATAGTAATAGTTTAGCACAATTCCAAAATAATGAACCAAAAATTTTCAGCCCTAAAGTTTGTTACATGAGTTAGAACATTATTATAATCAATACTTTGAGGCTTGCATAATGAGAACACAATGTATACTGTAATTGCATTACTAACAGGAAAAAATCACTTGTTTAATCATTGTTAACTCAAGGGCAGACAGATATTTACTTTTCTACTCAAAATGCATGATAAAGTAAATGGTGTTCATAAATGGTTTTGAATTGTTAATAAAAAGTTTACCAGATGCGTAATTTAGACCATAAAGGGGTCCTTGTATCCAGTGCAAGTGGCAAGAAAGACAAATGGAGAAAGTTTACTGTATTATAATATGCAAAACTATGTTCTTTACATATAATTTGTATCAATTTCTGAATTTTTCTTAAAAGGAAAAGAAATAGAATAATTTACAAACTATATTTTAAAAACTTAAGTTATCTACTTTATGACCTTTAATAATGCTTTTTTAAATAATGTGGTTTAATTTTTCTGCTTAGCTATTATTACATGTAGCATCATTACATTTATTTAATTATTTTGTTCTTTTTTTTCCCATTCCCACCACTAGAATATACCTCATCAGGGAAGGTAACTTAAGGTGACAGCTATGTCCCTGATACTTAAAAAAAAAATACAAAGAGCATACAAAGTGTCTTAACCATATCTATTATTATAATAATGTATATTTTCCAAAGACTTATAATGTAAAGTCATAATACTGGAAAAAATATGTAAAGTATGGATTTTAAATGTGAATTTGAGTTTAAAATCATAAAGGAAAATTACCAAATATCAGGCTTGGAAACGTCTTATATTATACAGGGGTCTCATTCCATTATCTCCTTTTGTAGAAGTAGAAATTAAGATGTTGGAAGATTAAGTGACATGTGAGATCACAGAACTTTAGCAATAATGGGCACCTTAAACCTCATGTGGTCCAAATACTTGCTTATGGCCACCCAGCCTATATATTAATGTCTGCCATGATAAGGCTTTCACTACTTTATAAAAGTATCCATTTATTCTTTTACTTTTTACTCACATGTAATAAAGATCTCTTTCTGTT